CTTGAGACTAGCTTGCCTGAGCTCCTTTTTCCCTCTGATGTGTTTTCAAGACAACTGAGGCATGACTCTGTGGTCTAACACAGCTTTGTTCTTCTCTAGACCCTATATCTACGGACCTACGTCTCAGGGGGAAAGGATGCAAATTCTCCAGAATTTCAAGCACAACCCCAAAATTAACACCATCTTCATATCCAAGGTTTGTGTGGCATATGGGGTGGAGGTGAGGCCCCTAGCACTCTGGGGACCTGGGGGGTACACTGTGATTCCTGGACAGCGAATTCACGTCTGCTGAAGGAACCTCTCATGTATGTTTTCATTTCCAACGTGTCCAGGGATAGGGGATACTGCCTGGCATTAGTGGAAGGAGCAGATCGAGGGTTTGCCTGCATCATGGGTAATCTATAAAGGCTCTTTGAGGTTTTTTCCAATTCTTTTTGGGATGTAGGAGTTTTAAGTTGTATTTCCTTGTTTATAAAAGGAAAAAAAGTTCATTTCCTATTCTGACAAAAGTAGGCATTCAGATGAAGTTCTCTTTACAAGTTGGAGGTCCTGTGTGTTGCGGCAGCCTTTGCGCTGGTTCCTGGTGTTCCTTGATGGGTGGTGGATGTCAGCACAGACTTGTGCAGGCCCAGCTCAGGGATGGTTTACTCTGAAATCAGAAGCTGTAGCCCCACAGTTTAGAATAGTCACTCAGATTAAGACAGACCCAAAGCCCAAAATAAATGAGATTTTACAGCTGGGTAGGGTGGCTCAAGGGTGTAATCCCAGCACTTTGGGAGGCTGAGGCAGGTGGATCACCTGAGGTCAGGAGTTCGAGACCAGCCTGGCCAACATGGAGAAACCCCGTCTCTACTAAAAATACAAAACTTAGCCGGGTGTGGTGGCAGATGCCTATAATCCCAGCTACTCAGGAGGCTGAGGCAGGAGGGTTCAGTCGCTTGAACCCGGGAGGTGGAGGTTGCAGTGGAGCCGAGATTGTGCCATTGCACTCCAGCCTAGGCAACAAGAGCGAGACTCCGTCTCAAAAAAAAAAGAAATGAGATTTTACGTGATTGTGGCTGGGCACATAAGCACCAAACCTTCATGTCTGTGGCTGGGAACCTCGATGTTTGGAGCCCCAGAGCTGAGGAATCCACCTACAGTTAGAATCCCATATGGGGCAGTTGTTCCTACCAGGTCACATCCCATGTGTGCTGCTGGTGTCAGTGGCCACCAGGTAAGAGTATGGATGGTTTTGTGGAGACATATTTCTGTAGCCAAAAAAATGAATGACTCAAAGTCAGTCTCTGTTGAAGGGCCCTCTCATCTCTGGGCTCCTGGCACCCAGCATTCTGAATGTCACTGATGCCTGGGATTAATTCTTTAGGGTGACTCTTAGGAGAACTCACACAAGGTCCTAGAGACCCTGAGGTGCCTTTCTGAGGTTTATTGCTTCACCTCTCTGCCTGTATCAGATAGACCCTGGTACAAAGAGGATAAAAGAGTGATTATGTTTCAAAATTATCTACATAACTTATTTAAATTTTGGATCCTGTGTGTCGCGGCAGCCTTTGTCCTGGTTCCTGGTGTCCCTTGATGATGGGGGTGGATGTCAGCACCGACTGGCGCAGGCCCAGCCCAGGGATGGTTTTAGTTGATTTTTTTTTTCCTCATATATAAAAATCTTCTGATTTGTTTCTGTAGGTAGGTGACACATCATTTGATCTGCCAGAAGCAAATGTCCTCATTCAGATCTCATCCCATGGTGGCTCCAGGCGTCAGGAAGCCCAAAGGCTAGGGCGGGTGCTTCGAGCTAAAAAAGGTAAAGTGGCCTTTCATCTTCTGTTGCAGGAGGTCACTCCTCCTAAACCACTTTAGTTTGGAAGACAGTAGGGGTGAGGGCTGCCATGTGCCCTGGGGCTAAATAGACTCTGGAGGGAGGGGATCCCAAAGCAAAGACCTAGATCCTTATGCCTGTCATTATTTTTCATGCCTTGGGGGTGAATATGCGGGTGTTTTCCCTGACAGCGGCATGGAATCCACGCAGATGTGCTCTGTACACTGTGCAGCTGTGTTGGTGGATGGTAAGAGGGAGCCAAGGCAAGGCAGTGCTTATGGGCTAGATGTGGAAGGGAGAAAACAGAGCTGGGCCAGCAGTGTAAGTGGAGGAGCTGGGAGCTGCTTCTGGAACTTGAACAGGAGGCAGGGAAAGGTTTGCTAGGAGCAGCTTGGGCAGACACACAATGGACACATCATTCATAACCTGTGCAGAGTGCTGCCCTGGTGGCAGCTTGCAGCAGGGGCAGGGCAAGCACAGTGAGTGAGGAGGTGCGAATCCACATTCCTAAGACTTTTTCTGAGGAGGCGTGGCACCCCTGTGCTTGCTTCCTGCAGTGAAAGGGCCCAGACCGTCATTGTGGGCGTGGCAGGGACTGACGCTCTTGCTAAGAGGTGGCCATATCTGTCTTACTGGGACCGGGGCACATCCTGAGACAAGGACACAGGCCCTGTCCTCAAGGAATTTGCTTATTCAAGGAGGCATCTGGACTGCTGGGATGTTTGAAAATGACAAGATTAGTGGGCATATGTTGGAATTGCACTACATTCAAATGTGTTTAAGAAGCATCTAGTAGCTTGTATTTAAAATGGAGATGAGGCAGATAGCATGGACTAGAAATAGCATGGACTCGGGCACCA